CTGCTGAACAGCTGAAGTAGGTCCACAGTGCAGGCAGACACAACAGTCACAAGGGGAAGGGGGTTCAGTTAGTTATCTGGAGCAACAGAACTTCAGACACTGAGGCTTCCTGGTGAAAACATCCTTAAGATATAACTCAATGGCTTCAGCAGTATTCTCGGCTCACTTGCCAGAGCTAAGCATCATGTACTTCACTCACATAAATCTTACATGCATGTTGCCCTGAACACCTGTGAAGATTCACATCCTCAGGGAGACCAGGGTGTACCTGACCCCTAAAAGTACATGGAAGAGAAGTCTGACGACTGCTGCTACTGCCAATACCACCGTCAAAGGATGCAATAGGGTTCAGTAGCTGGAATGTACATTCTTACACTGATAAAACAAGTGGCCATACAGTGCTTAGGTTGCCAACTCAGTCCGATATTGGGATCGTGATTAGCACAGAACAGCAATATGAGACTTAACGATCGCCTGAAGGCTGTAAGCTCTGGCAATGCCTCAGATACCTGGACGCGAGGCAAGAGTACCTCCACTCGCCAAAGCAATGGGTTTGCTAGATGTTTGACTATACCAAGGGGTTCTTGAAATTTTCAAGTTCTTGAAATTTTGTTCATGAAATGTTTCCTGGGTGGGATATTAGTCTGTGGCCCCAAAGTCGTTAACCTGCAATGCTTGACCTTTCAGTTTTCAGTTGAAAGTTTCGTGTGAAGCTGTTTCCCCTATGTATATGGTGCTGTCTTTGTGGTGTGCAGTTTGCTGGACCGACAAGGTGGGGTCTTTGCTACAGGTCTTACACAGTGTACGGGGAGAGGGAGCGTACAGTGTACAAGGACAGGGAGAGGCTTAACGAGACGGTGAGGCCAGCGGTGGGTACAACATTGCAAGGGAAAAGGACATGGAAACTTAAGAGAGAAGAGTAGAGGAAGAGAGGTGGTCAGGACAACGATAGAGAACGGTGACGCATCCAGTAATCGGGCAGCACGAAGGGGAGGCGAGACGTTAACTGTGGGCATCATCAAAGTTGAAGAGGAAGGGGGAACCGAAATCGTAGATGGAAATTGAAGGCTCAAAGCAAGGAGAAGCAAATGAGTTTGCCCTAACAGAGAGATCTTACTTAATCCTAGAAAGCACTTTTACTGCCTCTCAGTGTGACAACAAAGTCAGTGTTGAGGGAGCTGGGAAATCACGGGGATGCTGCTTGTGGATAGCAGTTGTTCAGTGACCTTATTGCTGTTTCTCCCTTTCCAAGGTGTGAGAATCTGGCAGAAGTGAATGCTCTCCTGCAGGAGCACCTAGATAAAGCGAATGAGGTTAAATTAGCTCTCAAAGAAGATGTTGGAAAACTGAGGGCAGATTGGATGAGGGCCCAGGAGGAGCTGGAATTGAAGGAGAGTGAATGGCGCAATGAAGGTGAGGTAAGGATAGGCTACAGGAATGTCAGATGTGATGCCAGAGTGGAATGAGAATGCATTTTATTTCTGGCACAGAGGGACTTGCTGTGTGAAAGTTGCACTATACCAGCTACTAGGAAGAAAATTAACTCTCTCCCAGCCGAAACCAGGACAGTATCCACCCCTTATTCTATACCATCTACGTCATGCCCAGGTCCCACACTTTCAATACATCCCCAATTAATCACCACCATTTTTCCTGTCTTTTCATGTATATACACACACAGATATCATTCCCTTAGTCCATGGGCCATCCCTATGAAATGTTCGTTGAGTTCATTTAGTCCATGACTTTGAGCTCCATCTGTTGTAACAGTCCTTCAGGGCAGGAGAGGTGGTGTGTGGTGTTGGACTGTTGCATGCTGAAGCCAGTTTCGGTCCCATCACCGCGGCACTTGTCCGGTTCGATCATCGCTGCACTTTGCTTGGTTTCAGCAAAGTTCATTCTTCATTAATC